AGCTCCGGCTGCTCTGGTGGCCCCAGAGGCCGCGGGGTCTCCTCGGTGGCTGGTGGGAGCACCCGGGGGGGGGCAGCGCTTCCCAGGCCCGTGCTGGGCTCTCCATGTCAGGGGAAAAAACTTGCCTCAGTTTTGGTTTTTTTATTCCCAAGAGAAAACAAGAAGAAACTTGTCCTCTTCTTGTCCCCCCAGTTCCTGGAGCAGTATTTCCACCAGGCTGACCTGGCTGAGTTCATGCAGCTCTTTGGCAGCAGCTTTGCCCACCGCACCCAGGTGGACCGGGTGGTTGGACACCAGGGCAGGGGCAAGGCTGGGCTGGAGGCCAGCCTGGATGTGGAGTACATCATGAGCACGGGTGCCAACATCTCCACCTGGGTCTTCAGCAACGGAGGTACTGACCCCCCTGCAGAGGAGCCCTGTGCAGCTTGGTGTGTCCCCTGGGTGTAGCACCCCCTGCTCCCTGGGCAGTGCTGGGAGTCACACACAGGAGGCTGGCCAAGGGACATCCCAGGGGCCCTTCCCATGGAAACATACAGGGGGGGCTCCCAGAGTCAGAGCTGGTGTCTTAACAGCTCACAGGGGAGTCACCTTCCAGGGATTCCAGGGCCCCGGAGATGCTGGGAGGGCTGGAGCAGCTCTGCTCTGGAGCCAGGCTGGGAGAGTTGGGGTGTTGAGCCTGGAGAAGAGAAGGCTCCAGGGAGTCTGTAGAACAGCTTCCAGTGCCTGGAGGGGTCTGTAAGAGCAACGGGGCCAAACTTTTTAGCAAGGCCTGCATTGACAGTACTACGGGTGATGGTTTTAAGCAGAGGGGAGATTGAGACACTAGGGAGCAATTCTTCACTCGGAGGATGGGGAGACCCTGGCCCACGCTGCCCAGGGAAGCTGTGGGTGCCCCATCCCTGGGAGTGTTTAAGGTCCCTTCCCAGCAATCCAGTCTGGGATTCTGGGATGTGTGCAGTTGCTTTAGGTCCCGTAGCAGCCTCGCAGTGTTCTGCAGCAGAGCCCCCTGCCCAGCTCTGCCCCATGGGCCTGTCACCCTGTCCCTCTAACCCCCACCTCGGCCGAGCGCGGCCGCAGGGCCCTGGTGCTCATGTCCTGCTCTGGGGCTGGCACTGATCCCCCAGCCCTGATCCACCATGGAGGGGATGCAGGGCAGTGAGGAACACCTAGGGCTGCAGAGCAGCCTGCGTGGATAGCTGCCGTGCTGCAGGGCGAGGTGCCGTCTGTCCCCAGCAGAAGGTGGCAGAGCAGGAGTCAGGGCACCTGTGGGGCTGCCAGCTCTGCCTCCTGGCTGCAGGCAGGCACAGCCCCCTGCCCATTCCCCCTCCTACAGCCCCTCCTTCAGACTTGGGCAGGGGCAGGCAGGGAGGGGCGGCCGGGGCTGCCCCAGGAGGGTGAGGGCAAGGAGGGACTTTGGAGGGGGAGGTGGGACGGGCATCAACCAGCTCTGGAACCCCCATCATGGGTGGAGGGGCCGAGGCTTGGCCAAAGGATGGCAGGGGGGCTGCAGCCCTGCCACAGGCACTCAGGGGAGGAATGGGTGAGCACAGACCCCCTGCCCTGGGGTTCAGGAGACCCTTGCACCTGGCAGAGCTGGAGCCTGGTGTGACAATCCACTGTGACAACCCCTGAGAGCGGCAATGCTGCCAGCAAGAGCCCAGGGCAGAGCTCCAGACCAGCCGTGCTGTGGATCTGCTCCCGGTGGGCAGGGCAGGAGCTGGAGCCCCTTCAGCTCCTCTTGAGTCACAGAAACACAGAATTCCAGGTTGGAAGGGACCTCAAGGATCATCTAGTCCAACCTCTCTAGGTAGAAATGCAGTTTAGATGAGCTGGCCCAGCACCTTGTCAAGCTGAATCTTACAAGTGTCCAGTGTTAGGGAATCCACCACTTCCCTGGGGAGAATGTTCCAATGTCTGACTGTTCTCAGAGTGAAACATTTCCTTCTGGTGTCCAGTAGGGATGTCCCCAGGAGTCCCTTGCACCCGTCATCATGTGTCTGTTCCCTGTGACTCCTTGTGAACAGGGAGTCTCCATCCTTTTGGTGGAGATGCTGCATCTCCATCCAGCCTTTAAGAGCTGAAACATGTCAATAAGGTCTCCCTGAACCATCTTCTCTCCCAGTTCCCCAGCCTTGCCTCCCACCATGAGCTTCCCAGTCCTCTCACCATCCTCGTGGCCCCTCCCTGTCCCTGGCCCAGCCTCTCTGCCTGGTCATGGTCCCCCTGCTGTGCCCCCTCCATCCTGGGGTCCCAGAGGAGCTGGACCTGCTGTGCTCTGTCCCCGCAGGGAGGCATGAGAGCCAGGAGCCCTTCCTGGCCTGGCTGCTGCTGCTCAGCAACATGTCCTCGCTGCCCTGGGTGCACTCGGTCAGCTACGGAGATGACGAGGACAGCCTGTCCCGGGCCTACATGGAGCGCGTCAACACGGAGCTGATGAAGGCGGCGGCACGAGGCCTCAGCATCCTCTTCGCCTCCGGTGGGGGCGGCCGGCACAGCGGGGTCCTGGGGCTGGGGAGGGGGTCACAGTGCCAGGGGGAGGGTCCCAGTGCTGGGTGGGGGTCTGGCTGCCAGGGGGGTTCCCACTGTGGACGTAGGTGGCCAGGATCGCAGCCTGGGCCTGGAGAGAGCCCTTCCCCAGGTC